CTAATCCACAGCTGCACCAGCTGTTCTAATGGACGCAGTGGTTGTGCCTCAGTGAGTTGCTTTCACGCCAAACTTCATTCACGAGGAGAACAAAATCACGTAAGAGACCAAGAGTTCCCGGGTGTCCGTGCGGAGGCCCCGGGTGAGGCTCTCGGGGCCGGGCAATTTCCTGCACGAGAAACTTGTAATTTTGGGGCGGTGGGGACGGAACGGTGAGGGCGCAGGCGGGAGTCTGCGGGTGCCGCGGGGGGGATGCGGGTGCCGCGGGGAGGAAGCGGGGCTCGGCGGGGCCCGGCGCGGCCCACGAGGTGGCAGCAGACCCTTTGGAATGCGGCGCGGGGCCAGCGGCGGGCGGGGGCTCTGCCGGGACAGCCCGGCCCCCGCCGCGCCGAGAGCGGCGGCCCCGCGGGACGAGCCGCCTCCCGGGGGGTTCCGCGGTGCAGCGGGACCGGCGGGGTTCTCTGGCAGGGCTGGGCGGTGCGGGAGTAACCCCGGGCGGCACCAGGGGCGTCGGGGAGCATCCCCGGGTGGTGCTGGCGACGTGCGGGAACACCCCCAGGCGGTACTTGGGGCGGTGCGGGAGCATTCCCAGGCAGTACCGGAGCATCCCCAGGCGGTCCCTGGGGCGGTGCGGGAACATCCCCAGGCGGTCCCTGGGGCTCGCTGCCCGCTCTCCAGCCCCCTCTGCCCCCCGCCCCGGGACGCCCCTTCCCGCTGCCGCGCTCGGCGCAGCTGCTGCGGGGCTGCCGGTACGAGAAGGAACTTCCCGTTGTTGAGATCTTTTAAACGTCACAACGGGAGAAAATTGTACCTGGAATACCTTTGCTTCCCGAGAAGAGACCCTCGGGGGAGGGGGGACGGAGGCAGCCTGAGTGGCTCTCGAGTTAGCGGGACGCTGAGGTTTACATGGTCCCTCACCCACCCCATGTGCCACAGGCAGAAAGAGATTCCTCTTTTCCTCTTTTATTTGCCAGCTGGGGCAAAACTAAGACGTTTCCCACGAGGTGCGTCCAGGGACCAACCAGCCCTGCACTAGCCACCCCTCTGGGAGCCGTGTCCTCAGGCGGCACAGACAGCGGGACACGGGGCTGTGACACGGCCCGAGCAGGCAGGAGGGCCCGGCCCTGGCTGCGACAAGTGGGGCTGGCTTTGGCTGCAGCCACAAGGCACGATCAGCGATGCAAACCCAGAGAGGGCACCATCAAAATTCAGCGGCTGGTACCCGTAACCGGGGACCTGCGGGGTGATGGCAGGTGGCGGAAGGAGTTTTTCTTTATAAACCGAGAATGCAGACAGTGGAATCGCCGTCCACACTGGTTTTCCCCCCCAAAAGAGCTCACGCGCTGATAGAGACTGCTACACATCTCCTCAATTAAGCAGTCAAGACGTGCTGAATAATAAATGAGCACAGAAAGGCCTCGGCTGCAGCTGGGACAGAGTCCCTGCGTAGCTGCGGCGAGCGCAGCAGGCACACGCTGTGCTGGCAGAGCGCTCCCAGCCCACGGCTTTGCCAGGGAAGCTGGTCTCTGAAGAGCTGGGCTTTCTCACCAGAGCCAGTGCCTTCTCCCCCATCTATCCCACCTCGCTTTCCCACCCAGCCCAAAGACCCAAGCATCCCAGCATTCCCATCCCTCCCCTCTCTGCTCAGAGCAGCCACTTCCCCTGCCCCCTTTGCGTCTCCAATACACAGACCACTGCCCGCTTTAAATGAGCTGAGGAGGTTACATGTACATGCATGAGAATAAAGTAAAAGGTAATTAAAAGATATGACCTACATCAAGCAAGACCATCAAGTGCCTGTCACATTTAATGAGGTGGATGTCCTGCATCCTGCTCAGTTTTAGCGTTTATTTTTGGGCAAAGCATGGGCACAATGGCATTTTACCTCCTCCCCCCATACCTTGGGTAGCAATATAACTGTTTAAAAGACTGTAAGGAGCAGAGAAGTGAAAGGAATGAATCTGAAGTTATTGCTTGAGTGGGCAGGAGAACATGAAAATTCAAAACATCCCAGCAGCCTGTAGATGTAGGCAAACTCCTGGCTGTTCAGGCAACTGATTGTTCAATAAATGCAAATGGACAAAGCAAAGCATCACTGAACTTGAGAGATAAAGGTCCCCTAACAATAGAGGCTTTTTACAGCATTGAGTCCAATTTTTTTTTCGTGTTTATTTAAGTAAAACCCAATTTGAGCAACTGGAGCATCAGCTCTTTACAGTGAAAGACAATTTGTCTGGGGCAGCCAATAAGATCATGTAAGATCCCCTAAAGAAAGCCCAAAATATGTATTCTCATTTCACTAATAAATGGCTTGAATCCAAGCATAAAAACGATGTGACTTTAATGGTTTCTCCAACTGGTAGCCACATTCCTTGTTAGCAAGAGATCCCATGTGGGAACATTAAAGTGAGACATCCCCACACAGGCTGGGAGTGATGAAACACGACCTAGCAGCTTCAGCATGCATCAGAGGATGGAGCTTGGTAATAAAATATTCAAATAAGCAATTCAGCCCTAAATGATTCTGTACCTGCTGGGTGTCCAGATTCTGAAACTGGGGTTTAAATATCTTTATATTTCTAAGTGCCAAGTTTCCATAGGTAAATATGAAATCAAATGTCAAAAGCTGATAATTATGACCCGGCTGTACTTGGGAGTCAAACTGGATAATTTCAACCCGTATTTTGGCTTAGCCCAGGAAAACCATCAAAATCTAGCATCTCTTTGTGAATAAATCTTTGTGAAGTTGGCATGCCACAGGTAGGAGAAGGGTCACGTGATACGGTATGTTCTCATTTTTTGCTTCAGTAGACTCATTTTTTATTGAATAGCAGAGTAAATATTTAAGCAAAACTAGTGTAAACTGCTGGCAGGTATGCCATGCTAAGTAGCAATCATTTACTTTTAAATAATTAAAAGTCAATATACAAGCATAGCATTCTTGTTGCAGTGCAGCACACGGTACCACCGCTCTGCCTTACATGTCACTTCAGAGCTTGATTTACTAACAAAGCATTTAGTTCAGCTCATTTGGGGGAAAAAAAAGGGAAAGAAATAGAAGAGAGAGGTTTTTAAAAACCCACCCTCTGTGTTGTGTATGTTTGCAGGTATTTTGGCTACACAAACCCCAGCTATTTCTGAGTAAGGCTGAATCTGCATCACTTGTGGGGCTGGTAAGGACAGCCCTGATTTCCTTTGCATTATGCATAGTGGAAGTGTCAGGATGGCTCTGATGGCGTTTAATTAAATATTTGGCAGTGTTTAATTAATTAAATATTTAAACATTAAATACTAAATAGGATGTGATATCTGCTTAGTGGACATTATGTCTCAATAGCCATTAGTCATTAAATAGGACTCAAATTGGCCCTAGAAGACTCCCCTTAGCTAAGCAAGGTCTTAAGTACATGCACTTTTGGATCTTCATTAATAAGTAATAGAGGCCAATTCAGACTATGTAGCAACACAGAGATCCCTATTAACAGAAATGTTAACGTCTCTGTTTGAGACCAGGCTCTCCAGTCTAGACAGCAGATGAGATGCTCAGAAAGGAGGGGTGGGATGTGGCTTCTCTGGTCATGTATGGGATTGTGGCCAGGGTGGGAAGGCAGCACCAAGAGAAAGCCCCACTCTGGCTGTGGGATGCCTGCTGGCACCTTTGCAGGGAAGGACAAGGGCGTTGCCTGTGGTCCACCAGCACCACAATGTCTATATGGGACTATCTGGGGTTAACTTGAGGGGATTTTAAATTAATTACATGGTTTAGTGTTCACACACACTTAAGCTCGCTGCAAGAGCCCTGCTCACCCAGGGAGCCACGTACAGCCACCTCCATGTAAATGAGAATCAGGCTCCACAGAACCACCCTCTGCCAGATTCCCACGGGCGTTCCCCGCGGGCTGATCCAGCCAAACATTACCACATGCCAGCACTCTAAGCCCACGCTCTTCCCAGAGCATCCAGAACAGCTCACACGCTGGAAACCAAGCACATGCACAAGCGCCTGGTGAAACATGGCCTATAAAAGTGAGGGGGTCTGATGTTTTAAAGATTTTTCTGTAATATATTTGTAGCAGGGAAACATTTTAGAGGCCCTTGTGGTTTTGAATTTGCTGTTTCATTATTCTCTATTCCCTAGACAACCACTAGTGGCAAACACTTCATACTTTTCACCTCAGTGGTATTTTTGGTAAGATTTATCATTTTTACCATTAAATCCAGTATGCATTCAAGCACACATTCATAATGCCTTTCAACACTGGGCTGCTCAGTGGGGGTTTTGTAGCCCACACAGGTGGGGCAAAAGGGATTTTGGCTCCCTAAGGATGTCAAGCAATCCCAGCACCCACCCCACCAGCAAACTGGGGCTTTTCAGGAAGTGATTGTAACTTAAAGCAACTCTGAGATAATTTTAAATGATGCTAAAGTCAAATTAAAACCCAGCGGGGGGATCCCGAATCAGCTCAAGAATCCTTTTCTTTGGGGATCTGTGGTAACATGCCACGTGCCATCAGTGGGACTTGTGGAAGGGCAGAGGTGGGCAGCCAGCAGGACCACTGCCAGGGCCCCCACGTGATCCTGCCCCTGTGCTTCTCCCTGGCTTCAACATTCATAGATCTTCCGTGCCTCCCAGGCTGCATACACGCCAGTAATCAGATTGTGCTTCTGCCTAGTAGTTTTTACTTGAAATATCATTGAGTTAGCTCTTGAGGGATTTGTGTCTGGTGACATATATATTGGTACTGAAGTCAGAGGTCACCTATTGCAAAGATCATCTTGATAGGATGATTATGAAAAAAGCCATGCTGGTTAGAAGACCCTCTAACTAGATTTGGCCTTCTTCTTTCAGCGTCACATTAGCGAGTCCTGCTTTCCCTCTCAGTTTTAGTGATCCAATCTTTCTTCTTCTGAATTTGTCCCTTGGGAGCTTTCTACACAGACATTTTAATATATCACACTATTCTCTGCAGAAATCATTTGCTCAATGAAGAGACTGGATTTTTTTTAATTGTAATATTAGCAGTGTTCAACAGCAGCCACGATGCCCACACCTATGCCTGGCACAGGCTGGGAAGGGTTGGTCCTGGATCAAAGCCATCTCAGCAGTGAGACAGTCCTTTCACCTTCATGGTTCCTCTGTGCACAGCTCCCAGGGCAGCTCTGGAGGGCACGACGTGGCTGCTGGGAGTAGCACTCCACAGAGGACATTCCTCCAACATTTTGCTCCATGCAAACTCCAGCTGCACCTTCTGTAGGTTTTAAGAATTTGTCAGTGATGGGATAGGCACAATAAAGCAAGCACCCTATCAAATATTAAGCAGCACAGTCAGATGCTGAATTGCCAGCTAGCTAACTGCCAAACACAGGTCTATTTTTCAGCTTCAACTTGATGCACAGTGTCAAGTTGTCAGAAGACAGCATCTGCAGAACACAAAACAAGTATCAGTGCTACGCTTCCTAACAATTCAGACAGCCTGCTCAGCATCCTCTGCCCACACCACCTTCCCAGGTGACATGAGGTGAGCCCACAGGAGCTGCAGGTGGGCTGCACTGCTCCTCACACTCACTGCTCTCCCAGTTATTTCTCCTGGTAGCTTTGCATGCTTGTTGCGTGCTGTTAAAAAGCTTTTCATTTCCTGACAATTTATAAATATGTATTGGGTCTGAAGGATGAGGGTAAAGCAACTGCTGTTTCTTCTTTTAAAGAAAATTAAACATGACAAACTTAGTTATTCATGCAAACCATCCGCCTGTTATCTCTGATTATGCAGGATCCAAATGGTGAGGCTGAGTGAATGAGTGCATTCAAAGTAAACTGTCAGAGGCAGGAACACCGGGTTTAACCTACCCCTACCTGTTCTCTTTTGTACTTATGTTTCATCAGCTTCAACAGGCAGTGCAGTTGCCTGGTACCAGGATCACCCATTTCACTACTGTCTCCCTATTTAAGGGGTTAATTAGCCTCCAGAAAACAGAAGAAACCCTGCATGTAGCGGTCTCATGCTTTAAAACATCGGTCTCATGCTTTAAAACATCGCTTCACCAGGATATTTTAAGCTCGTGGGCCAGACCATATGGTATTTCAGGAACAGAAGCTGGAAGCACAGTGCACATGTGTCCCTGTGCACACCCAGCGCCGAAGGAGGTGCGGTGTCTCTAAGCCTTGGCACGCAGGCACGTGCCCGTGTGCGTGGGAGAAGGGGGAGTAGAAATAAACTTCACACACTGGAAAGTGACAGATTGATTTCCACCCATCCACCAACCTGCCCTGCAGCAACAGAGAAAACCTGGGATACGTAAACATGAGAAAACAAGAAAGATTGTATCACACTGTCTGAAATCTGTGGCAAGCGCCACAGTTCGCTTGTCTGTTCTAATGCAGAGAAGCTGCTTCAGACATCAGTTCTTTTTCTCAGCAACAGCTTTGATGTATCTTATGAGGAAGATCCCCTTTACCTGGCTTGGGAGGAGGCTCCTGTGCTTGGGGCCAGGTCCCTTCCTAAGGGGCACACTTGGATCATCTGTGCAAAAAATGCAAGTTAATCAGTTACAAGTTGTTCTTTCTTCTTCCCCAAAAACATTACCATTGCATTGAATGGTACCCTCTGCTTGGATGATGCCCAGGAAACCGCTGAGGCACCACCCCTGTCCTGCACCATCCTTCATTGTCAATCCTTCTCACTTTGGTGCAAGCCAGGGACCAGAAGTTTAAGCTTTTGGTGGCACTGATGGCAGCCACCAGCCCTGTGGTGCTGTGCCATACCAGGGTGGTCAAACTGGCCAGGGATTTTCAGGGTGAGCTGGAGGGCAAGGAGGACTTCTTGCAACTTGCAATACCTTCTGTGGTACAATATAATGCTCTAGCACCAGGGAAAAGCCACAGCACTCTCCCAGCGTGATTTACACTCTATTTGAGTCAGTGTGACAGCAGGACTACTTAACGCTACCCTCCGCCCCCCCTGTTACAGAGTTATGACTTTAAACGCTGAATATGAATCAAAAATTTCCTTTCCATTCAAGTCCTCCTTCTGCCCTTCTTATCTGACTCATTTCCAGGCTGCCCACTGACCTTCATGCTAATTGATCATTACTAATAGATAAGGGTAATGCAGCTTTTGAACTGTGCTTACTGCGTGCTCTGTACTTCTTGATTGGCATGGGCTGCATTTTTTTGCCTGGTGGACTAAGATCATCTGAAATTAAATCTGAAGCCAGTGGACAGTACCTGGCACACTGGAGTGAGCTACCATGCTGCTACAGGCATTGCCTGAAGTGACTGGAAAAGCCCAGTTCCATCTGAGGTGGGCATTTGTAGGAGGGTGGGTGAAGTGGGCTCTTCTCTAACATGCCCTGGGGTGTCACTGAGCCCTCTTACACTATGACATCTCCCAGGAAGGCATCTGGATGCACTGCTTGGAGTCACTGGTTGCACTTCCCCGGAAGCTGAGGTGCTTCACAGGTGTTAGCTCGGGAAGCTGCAACACCCTGCATATCCATGGAGCTGAGAGATATCTGCCTTTGGATACAGTGAACTACAAAGGATTTAAGTGACTTGTCAGGAGTTATCTGGAGAGCCCGAGGCACAGCTCAGAACACAGTTGCTGCCCGTAGCCTCCTCTGCAGCTATCAGATAATGCCAGCCCTCTGCAATGCACTAATACTGAGGAGCATTTCATACACAAATGGATTATTACTGGAATCCTATAGATAAAGCCATTCATCTTCTGAGGCCCTTGGGAGTCTGAGTAGTTAATACACATCACAGCAGAGTGATATATAAAGCATGCAACACAAAGACACAGTGAGAAGCATGTGTAGGAGTGTTGAAAGGGAGAGAAGGACCAGAGCAGGAAGGCAAATCTTCGTGAGAGACACAGATGTACACACGAGTTCACCAAACAACCCATATCTTCAAGCACTTTCAGGTGAGGTCTTCAAAAATATCAACATGAGAAAAAAACTTCAAACTCCCAACTTTTCAGCCACCAATTTTCTTGGGAAGGCTGTCAACAATTCGCCAGTGATCAGCCCCTGTTCTCAGACTTGCACATTCATGGGAGCAGTTGCAGGTGGAAGCAGGTGCTGGTGACACACGTGCCCAGCCTGCCTACCCCAGGTGTTTGTACATCTGCCCCTTTATCCAATCACAGTGACAAAAGTAAGAGCAGAAGTCCTAATGCCCCATTTTCACCAGCTTACACCCTGGTGATGAGCACTCTAAGAACCCATTTCAGGCAGAATAGAAAATTAATGAGGGAATAAAAGAGGTTGAGTCACACATCTCACATCTCAAATATGCCTTGCACAAATCGGCCGTGATGAATTGTTGTATGAAGTCTGGGCAAGGCTCCTCGCTGGTCAGAATACAGATAAAGCATGTGTGGGCTTCTCACATGTTAAACAGAGCTCATTAAGGGAAAGATGCTGTTTATCCTTTTAATTCTGACCACATCATTCACTCGTCATCTTATTTAGACCCTATTTTTCCCCAGACTGGCAGGTGATATGATTGCATTGGCCTCGATACAATCACAGCTCACACTCTGCTCGACAATCCAGCAGCAGTGACCAGAGCTTTTGTGCTGGTGCAGCTGGGAGAGCCGAGTGCCTGCACACGGACATCCCTCCCCAGCAGAACCACTCGGCCGGCATGAAAACAAAACCAGGCAACTTTCAGGCCATGAATATACATCTCGTTCAAAGCAAAAAGGGAGGCTCTCCAGCAGCAATGCCAAACATGCAGATTAATGACAATGCTTTCCCTGTGAAAATGGCCTTGCTGAGTCCAAACACGTTCTCCCAAGATGCCAGATTTTCTAAGTTAGTAAAAATGTTGAGCTGTCTGTTTGCTTTAAACAATTATGTCAGCTCTGCAAGAAAAAATATGTTCCCTCTCCTGACCTCCTCATGCTGTTAGGTAGGGCACTTTTTAGCTGGCTCTTGCTTTAACACAGACATTAGAGGACAGCTGGAGAATTTCCTTGGGAAAAGCAGAACACAGCCAGTGAAGGGAGAGGTGGAGGGACCAGCAGCACCACCAGGCTCTTGCAGCAATGTGTGTTACCACCTGCTGCATCACAGCAAAGACCTAATAACGCAACAGAGGTACAAGCCCTGGTCAGTGTGGGTTTCAGTCTTCACAACCAAGTAAAAACAGACCTGTTTTCAGAAGGTAGCCCTTTAAATAGAAGATGTCTGGTGCCACACTTCATTAGAAATATAGCCCTGAAGATGAGACAAAGGAGGTTATTGTTGCTGCTCCCACCTCTCTCCCCAAAAGGGGAGCTAGAGAGACTAAGGAAGAGAGAAAGTGAGATTAAATGATTTATCCTAGGTCACAGTAGAAGTTAGTGGCAGAACCAGGAATTGCCTTGGGTACCCACCCAGTACATTAAGCACAAAGTCAACCATCTCCACAGCAGCAGGTCAGAGGCCAGGTCAGGCAGTCTCTGCTCTGGAATAGCTTCTCAGCGCCTGGCACTGGGCTGCTGAGCAGAAAATGCTGTCAATGGTCAGGGCAGAGCAGTAGTATTTACATCAGAGCTAATGGAGGCAAACACTCATCGCTGTCTTATGATTTACACCAAACACACCACAGCCAAGCTCAGCCAGAGGAGCCCATCCCTCCACCACTTTTCCAAAGGATGCTCAGCCGTATCCAGGGGAGCTAAACCAGCATTCCATACCAATGGGACCAGGCTAGAGCCAGCCTGCAGGGTGTTTTCTCATGTGAGCAAACACTTGAATTTTTTCCCCCTTCAGTAAAACAAATCACACAAATGTAGCTTACCCTAGGGCTGATACCTGATGTGAGACCACACGAGGCTCCCAGTCTGGAAGACACACAGGAACACTGCTGGGACAAACCTGGGCTAGATGGCAACAGCCTTGAATCAGCTGCAGTGGAAATAAAACTAGAGGGTAACCTAGTGACAGTGCTCACACAGGCATATCCCAAATATTTCATCACCGTTATCTCCAGAGCACATCTAGCCAGCCTTCTGGTATGCAGAAGATCAAGTCTGGGAAAGCCAAAAAAAGCCAGAAAAGCACTGGGTGTTGTGCTGAAGTGGTTGATTACAGCACAAGCCAATTCTGAACAGAGGGGGAAAAAAACCCCAGAAAAATAAACTGTTCTTCAGTTTTGCACTGCATTGGAGGGACTGAGATGGCACATCTGGGAGTCCCTGGGCAACACAGCTCCTGGATACTCTGCTATCTCAGCCTGCTTTGAAGGTCTCTGCTCACACAGAGCTCTTTGTCCTGAGCACAGAACCTCCTGCATCTTTCAACTACTAATCCATAAAAGTAGCTCCTCAGGATGCAGCTGCATATAAAGCCAATAGCCGTCTCAGCTCAAACAGTGAAAAAGTGTGTGCATGAAATACATAGTGGTTATAAAACATATTTCTCAGGTTATAATCATGTGCAAAGAGAACTGTACAACAAATCCAAAAGCCATGACACTTCTGACACTGATGTTTCCACTTCCAAGCTGGCAGCAGGTGAGGACAACACAGTTTGCTCTTTACAATATTAAGAGACAGTTTAGCATCAAAAAAAATCTTTCAGAGTGATCACAGTCCAGGAGAATACATCTAATTCCCTCTAAAATAATTTGGAGCTTCACTGGGTAGAAAATTGCTATTTCTGCTCCAATGCCAGAAAATTCCACTTTTAATTATAGAAATTTCTGTTATGCACAATTATAATATTCTTTCCTATTCTCCTCACTCTTAGTTCAAACACACTATTAGCTTTTTAAACTACTGCTATGCATTGTGCAGACATAGGTCACTCCTGCTGCAGAGGAATGCCAACATTCCTGCATCTTGAATCAACTCAGACTGAATAACAGAGGATGAAACATCTTTTCTGTATATTCCAGGACAAGTTATCCTAACAATCAATGATGGTTTGGATGCAACCTTCAGTCAGGTGAAATTAGATCATAAAAAATTTAAATACCTTCTCCAGAGCACAGATATATGGACCGATGCCTTATGGAGAGAATGCAAGCTAAAGACCAAACTCGGTGAGCAGGCTGAGAAAAGCCACACAAGAATCCACAGCAGAAGTTGGTGAAAAATAGTAACCCTTTGCTACTGTCTGTGTTTGCAGCATCAGGAAATAAAGGGATAAATTCTCGTGTCCCAAACCAATAAACATAAAATTATCTTTACACAATAATTAATCATCCTGTAGAATGAATCAGCTGAACCAAAAAAAAAATCCAACCTGTTTCTGAGGAGCTGTTGGGGCAGCAGCTGGAGGTTTGCAGCTCAAACCTGTCCCGGTCAGATGAAATGAGAAGACTCCAAACACACTGGAGTGTGTCCAGACCCACATCCCAAGGATTAGTGTTTGTAAAGGTACAAAGATGATGAATCAGTTGTTTCAATCTGTGGCTGCATTAAACAGACTGTCTCTGTACATTTTAGTACCTGCTTTGTCAGTTCCAGCGGGAATTTAGTACCTTTGCTGGTCAGAATCGATAACTTTAATTGGTAGTTTGGAGTTAGGTGCAAGGTGCATTGACACTGATGAAAATTAGTTGCTTAATTCACCAGCCACACAGGGGAGCATGCTGGGGAAGGTGGTGGGAAAGCCAGGGAAGGCTGCTGCTCTCCAAGCCCCATTCCTCAAGCATGGAAGGCTTGGACAGGACAGTGCTAATGCAGCCAGGCAGCAGAGGAGCGTGCAGGCTGCTGGCTCAGCGTGCCCAGAAGCCCAGGCAGTGGCCACATCACTGTGTGAGTGGACACAAGGGCACAGAGCAGTGAGGTACAAGTGCCAAGGAGAGCAGTGCCCCTCCTGCTGCCCAGGGAGCTCAGAGCACACGGCCTGTGCCTGAGGACCTGAGGGAGGTGGGCTCCCAGTGTCACGAAGCACAGCCAGGCTGCTCTGTAGCATCAAGGGTTTACATGCATCATGCTCCTTGAGGAGGGAACTTTTCCTTGCTACTGACCAAACACAAAACAGAGCTCCATAGGCAGAAGAGGAGACACTGACTGCACACAGGGAGCCTGAAAGAGGGCTGCCAGGACACCCATTCCATCACGTCAGGGATCCATCTCTGGCATCTGCTCTATCAACAGGCTCTACTCATCACACTGAAGAGGCTGCGTGCATCGACCCACCAATTAAGCTCTTTTGGTACAGATCAAAATTAAAACACAGCTACCTTGCAGGCACATTTGAAGCCCTCCCTAGCCAGCAACGAAAGGGTCCAGGCTGGCCCCATTCCCTTTGAAGTGTGCCTGCTGGCTGTAGGTTTCTATAGTGCTTGCTTGCAATTACAGCACTTTTCAACTTCTCTCTTTTTTTTCTTTAATTTAAATAGATTGAGAGGAATTAAAAAACCCTCATCAATCAGATTTATCAAATAAAACTGTAGAGGTAGGGCCAGCTGCAGCTACACATGTCAAACTCAGCTGCAGATATGAAAGGAAAGGCTGTAATTCATAGGCTGCTCAGCTTTTTGAGGGTTTAGCAGCAAAGCTAATCCCATTGCTATATTCCTAAACCTACAGAGATGCCTGGCTCTGAGCTAGGCAACGATTGGTCTCTGCATACACAGGTCTGGACTCTGCCCCCTGTGAAAGGGGGTGTCTGTGCTGTGCTTGCTGCCTGGGCATGCTCTTCACATTCTGCTGCAGTGTCTTGGGGCTCAGGAGGGACTCGAGAGTCTCTTGTTTTCTTTCCTTGTCCTTACATGTGTGTGGATGAACAACCTGGATACATCCTCTAAGACACTATGTACAGTTTACTCCGGTTGTAAGAGTTTGAGTGAAAGGGAAAAGAGTAATGATAAAACTTCCCATTGATTAACAGGGTTAGTATTTCAGCAGCCTTTGCAAACTTTGGCTCACCAAGGTCTACTCTTGTTGAACACCATTAGCTGAGTGACAACACAGCCAAAGAAATCCAAAAGCAGGTGACATCCCCACATCCCTGCACAAGGATCTTAAGGTGTGGATGAGAGCAGTCTTGAAGGGGCACAAGCTGAAAATGATGATAAGGAATGGGAATGGAAAAAGTCAGAGATGGAACAGTCTTCACCCATTCTGTTAAAAATGACTGCTGTTACCACGTAACCTCCCAAATGCCACCATTCTGGGACACAAGTGATGCCATGATTCTTCTGCAGGCCCTGCTGACCACTACTGCTTGCAAAGTCCCAGATCACAAGCCTCCTTTTGTCCTGTCAAAGTGTCAGGGGAGCACTCAGGAACCACAGCATCCTCTCCTCTCCCTATCCTTTTCCACACTGCTGTCTGAACAGCCAGCTCTGTCCGAGGAACATCCCTGCAACTGCTGACCGCAAATAACAAGGCTCTCCCTGTTAAAAATCCCAGGACATTCAGGGGCCAACATGTGTGTTTGTGCATAATGAGAGACACTTAGGGATGCAGAAGTGCAGAGGTGCTTCATGGTTTTCTTCATCATTATTTTAACAAAAAAGTAGGGAAATCTAAGAGGAGAGACAAGGGCTTTCCCAGCCCACCTGATGGCACACACAAGCCTGGCACATGGGCTCTGCCCTGGCCTCTCCTGCCCCTGAGGGCCCATGGAGATGAGCCATCCCACATCCTCAGCCTCCCTCCCGCCCCACAGGGCCAGCAGTGATCGCCCAGAGCATCAGATGGCCTTGCTCTGGTGCTGCTGTGCAGTTTAATGCAGAGCTGCTAACACTGAAAAATACCAGCTGGCTGGGCTGACATCAAAGCCCATTGGGTTTTCCACCATGCAGCAGAAAGACGCAGCAACAGCACAAGCCCTCTTTGACCACTCCCTGCCAAATCCTGCTACCGGGATCCCTTCTGTGGGGATCCCATACTGACTCACCTGAGTGTCCAGAAAAGCTGCTTTCTGCAGAGGCAGGGGCTTCAGCATCCACTGACTTCTTCAGCAGGTTTCCAGCCACATCTCACACGGTAAAGGCTCTCAGTCATCACTTGCTTACAAAATCGAGCTGGTTTCTCAGGCTGCTGCCAGACCCTCATGTCCTCCAACAGACTCCATCTGCTGGTTTTTTTAGACAAGCAACTCCTGCAAGGACAAAATATATCGAGTTAAATAATATACACTTCATCTTCTCTCAGCAAAACTGTGCAATTTTGGAGATATTTTGTAAATTCAGATTTATGAGGATTATTTTTTATACTATGGCTACCACAGTGACCATAGAGAATTTATTGAGGTAATAATGTATTTAAATAGCCAATTTTAAAAAAATGGAACCATCGCAATGGATTAATGCTCAAACCATTAATATCCAAGCATATTAAGTCACTTGAAGGATTTTTGTGTGTGTACGCATATTTTGGGGTATATTCTCCTCATAATACGTGGAGAGAAGATATGCTTTACTGTTGACATTTAGCACATTTTCTTTATTGCTTTTCATTTCATTGTGAGTAAAAGTGTTATTTGTCCATCCAGCCTTCCTTAGGACGAATGCCATCATTTCTGTTTGCAGAGGCAACCAAAAATTAAAGGAAATATTTTAGATGTCAACATTAAATGTCGAAAACTGATTTTAAGTAATTACTAATACCCTGGCACATATGCATTTTATTCAGAAAACCCCTGTTAAAAATATTCATTTGGGGATATTCAAATTTATTATGTAGAACAACACAGCATTAACGTGCTGGCTTCTATTTAATGCTTTGGTTCATAGCAACAAAGATACCAATGGGAAATCATTAAACAAATATGCGATTTTTGCAGCATAATGGGTCTATGTTTGGTATCACTTGAAAAAAAACTCGCTGAGCTCAAACTGACAGAAAAAACGCAATGATCAGGCAAAGTACAGCAACATTATAAATGTTAACAGATTTCAGAAAGTGATTTTATGTTAATTCAAATGTTAATGCTGTCCGGGGCTGCTGAAAGGAGCGTGGGGCTGCGGGAGGAGATAGACGTTGCCGGCAGGGAGCACAAAGGGCTGCCTCTTGGAGGGTGGGGGGAGTTTATTAATTATATTTCCTTCAGAGCCTTAACAATAACATGTCAGTAATCTACACATTCTGTACTTAATTGACGTTAATGATCTGGCGGGGTCCCGGCCGTGGCCGCGGCCTCCCCACGCCGTGAGAATCCCGGCCATCTTGCGTTCCGCAGGCCCCGCAGCGCGGCCCCAATTAACTCGATGAGCGTGGGGCCGCCGAGCTGCTCCCGCCACGGCCACGGCCCCTCGCACAGCCACGTCCCACACGGACATCTTCCAGTGCTCTCCTCATCCCTGAAGGAGCGTGCGGTCCCGGCACAGCCCCGCACAAAGGGATGCATTCACACGCCCCCAGAGATGGCCGCCCAGCACCCACGGACACCCCGCATGGAAGGGGTTCCTCCGCTTCCCCTCTGACACAACAGCTGGGGAGAATCAGGGGTTTCTCTCTTCTGCTTGTGAGCAACAAGTCCCAAAGCACACACAGCCATCCCAAAACAGCGTCCCACGTGCCTGCTGCTGCCCTCGAGGTGATGACCCATCTGTGGGCACTCAAAGTCATGTGAGCATTTATGGTGGTGAAGTGATGCCTCTCAAAGCTACTCCCACCTGGGTTGCTCCAGTATCTCTACTCATGGTGCCAATTCAGCTGTCAGCCAGCAACATATCCCAGACTCCTGTATTTTACCTTCCCCAGAGTCAATCCTTCCCATAAGATCAGCCCCAGGAAAGGTGGTTTCTCTTTTGGCAGGCAGCTAGGAAGCAAAGTCCACTGGGCAGCAGCGGGATCCAAACCTGCTGCAGCAGCCAGCAACCTCAGCCCTCTTGCCACTGGCAGGTAGCCCTCGGAAATGGCAGGAGAAACGTAGAGTCCTACCATAGTTGGGGAGCACATGGAAGTTACAGCAACAACAAAACCAGGTTGTTCTGGGCAGATGCACAATGGCTTCCTGGTATGTAGAATTCAATGCATTGTCCCAGCACGATGGTAGGGAAAGAAGTCAAGCAAATTTCTCCATGAGGACCAGTAACAGACCTGCTTTTGTGCGTGGCACTTCCTCCCTCCTTGGAGCTACTCTTAGCCTCTACTCATCCCTCTTCAATGCCAGATGCACATCATGACTGCCCCAGTTCCTTCTTCCTCTCTTCCCACCTTTCCTCCTGCCAGTACAGAGCCCCTGCTGTCACTCACCTCTGGTCTGGCCAAGGATAGAGCAGAGGGGGTGAGCCTATGCCTCTCCTTCACATAGAAGATGAGTCTGATTCTTTTTTCTTCTTACCTTATAAAAAGAAGTCAGATCTCCTTTAAGTTGTCCAGTGGAGGAAGCCAACAGACAGGGAAGTGGGGGGAGGAACCACAAAGAAAAAAGCACCCCATGAGTCCAGCTTTGGTAGGAAATCAGGCTAAAAAAAAAAAAAAAAATCAGCGCACTATCACTGCAATCAGATACCATTCCCTGCTAGGGGGTTTCCAGACCAGCTATCCCACAGCAGCACCTCTCCCACTCCCAGCAGAACAGGGTGGCCCAGGCAGCAAAACATTCAACAAACTGTTCCGTTGCCACTTCTCAGGGGAAAACATTTGCTTAAAAACAGTCAGATGAATTTGGAGTGATCTATAGGGCACTTTGTTATGTTAATGACTGTTACCAACTGTCTCTTCTTTATATTAAAGTGTTGACTCATTGTCAGTTGGGGCGAGACAAGACAGCTTGCTTGTGCCTTGCAGTCCTTTTGCACTCACCCAAACTACTCATGTGAAGACACTTTAATATGAAGAGACACTGTCTGTGGCTATTATTAATCTCCTGACTGAAGCCCAGAATACTAATAACACCATGCAGGATCAGCTAACCTTTCCTCACAGCATTCTTCATTCTGCAAGATTTTGGGCAAAACTAAAACATTTTTCTTTGCTCTCACAAGCCTGTGGCTGACAACCAGACTTCCCAATCTGACATGTAAAAGGTTTTCACTTGCCCTCCACTGTGCTCAAATAAAATCATCATCATTCTGGCAGAGGTAAGAGAGGTGCCTCCCATACGCCCAGAAACATCAGCTTTACCCTCATCAGACAGCAGCGTTTGGCAGGTCTGGCTGAGGTGAGAAAGCAACTTGTTTATTCTCAGACTGATCTTAAACCCAAGTGTAACAACCAAACCTCACTGTGAGACGTACGGTCCAAATATTACACTGGCATCTGGTAAGCACTGGAAGATGGATATTGGGGTGAAAAGAGAAAGGTTATCTTTTAACTCTTGTCATGATCAATAACTGTTAACACACAGAAGAATTGGGCTGAGGCGCTGAGCTGCAGAGGCTGGTGTCTTGGTAGAGTACCCCCCTCAGAAAAGAAAATAAATCCAAACACCTTACACAGAACTGCAAAATAAAGCACCGTATTACTCTTCTCTGTCTGATGTTGCTGCTCTGGGATTCAATCCAAGAACACTCAGCCCATTTATCCTGGTTACACACAGAGCACGCCATAGGTAAGTTCGTGTAACTGGAGTCTGAACACGATAACCTGGCAAATCACAGCTGTCCCTACTTCTTTTTTTGCCTTGGGAGGGGGGAGCCCAAACCCATTCCTACAGTTTTATTACATTTTTACTCTCTTTGTGGTGAATGCCTAATTTCCAGCCAAGCCACTTATTTTTAGTTCTACATGAGGCCTCTTCCATCCCAATTTAAGAAAAAAAGCAACAATCTTAGATCCAGAGCAGTGTATGCTGCCTGCTCATGCAGATCAACTACAGTCTCACACTCTCAACTTCAGTGGATTTTGCATCCTTATGCCATCAACAGTTTCTTTCTGGAAACTCACATCTGTACACAAGTTTGGGCCCCTGAACCTCCTGAAAATAAAATAATCTGCCTCAAATTGAAGAAAATATGATATACCAGCTATGCTTTTAGCACCAGGAAAATTATGCCTGTGGGGTGGCCATTAGCTGCATGATTTTCCAGGAAAAGTTTAAGCTTGTTGTTTTTCTCTGTCAGGAAAATTGTTTAGCTCTTGATTAAATCCATTATCATTTCAGTTTCAAGGAATGTTATCATATACAGTTTGTAAGAAACCCAAACATTTGATCCTTTGATTTTGCCTTTATAGTATAAATGTATATGTGGCTGAATATTTATTTTTAAACAAAGTGTAGACCAACTGCAATATTGCCAGAAAGACATTGAGTGCATTTAGAGAACCATTTCCTCTCCACAGCCACTGTCCATAAACACAGTACCTCCTCCTCTTTCCAGTGCTCATGGGAATTTAAGAGTTCCTTCTCTAGCCAAAGCCAAGGCAGAAATGTAACATTTGAGACTAATAAGACATCACAGGAACACATGCTGATAAAGGAAATCCTTTCCCTCAGACAAAGACAGATCTTGTCAGGCATCTGCTCTCCTCCACCCCAGGAGCAGGGGCTGGGGCACATCTCACTGTACAGGCACCAAACAGAAGAAGCTCTGCACTTAATTTTTTCTTATATTCCAGGCAAACATATCCTAAGCCAAGCAAGTGCTGTGCTCTTAACTTCAAAGCACAGAACTTTCACAAATTGCTGTAACAAAGAATAGATATTAAAGTCTTCTCACACTTGTACAGTTATCTCCTGCCATCTCAGAGACACACAAAAAAATAAAACAAAACCCCCAAACCTCTCAGTTACTCCACCTTGATTGCCCACCCTGTGGCTGGTGTGAAGGCAGGAGGACCAGAAGAGGGAGGAAGAGCTGTGTTGGTTCCTGCCACAGGCAGCATACAGTGGAGTTGCATCACCTATTTACATGCCAAATCTGAGCAAAAAATCTCCCCAGAGAGAATACAAGCTGACCTGGGCCTTGCCAGCAAGGAGGAGATGGGCTTAATCCCCAACAAATTCAAGGCTAGACAAGGTCTGAGCTAACCTGTGTTATTTCACAGTATATGCTGGTGTCTCCCTTTTTGTGAGGGGAGAGGAAGTTTTGGAAGATGAGGATGAGTAATCTGATGCTTTAAATGCTTGTTGTTAAACACCTAGAGGAAGCAGTTCCCAGAACAGGAGAAGATTTATGCCAACAAACAAGGTGAAGTGGGTCCATCCAATGTCAACCTGTGCACTTGCCAATCCCCTGCTGCACTGCACATTGACCCACCGACTATTTGCTAAGACTTTTACCTTGCAGTGCCCTGACTGGGTGTTCCTTCCATTACAACCTGGAAGACAGCTCATTGTAGCCTTTGGCAACTCCCAAGCTAACCTTCAGGTGCCCTGACTCCTCCCCCAGGAGGGGATGCTGCTGTAACTTGCCCAGGGTCCAATGTCACAGCCTGGTCGAAGGGAGTGTTCCACCCAGCCTGAATTCAGGCTGCTGCTGCTGGGAGAGAAGGCAGCTGTGCTGAACAGGAAGACAACACCACCCAGGAACGGAGGGAAATCCAGAGAGCCTGCAGGACCTGCAGCTCCCATGGGCTGGCTGCTTGCCTCCACCTCGTACAATCAAGGGTGTTACAAACCCCTTGTGTTGTAATTCCTGACAACCAAGAGGAGATGCTGACCTGAGACCTAGAAAGGGACAGACAGCCAGAGAGAGACCATCTTCTTTCTTTAGAGCAGACAAGCTATGCAGAACTATTTCCATGAACTACTGTTAGGTAGCTACAGCACTTAAAACAGCAGAGTCTCTGGCAGACTCACAGTGGGAACTGCCACACCTCCATCATTTCTGCCCACCAGCACTCCTCCTCCCCAGCTGCAGCCTCAGCTCGCTCATTTGGGGCCCTTTCCTTCAGTACAGACACAGCCACCACCAGCTTCCAATTCTATAGTAGCAGTGATACAAAATTAGCACTGGGTTCATTTCTCTTGTTCAGTTTCTCCAATGTCCCCAGCTTTCAGATCAAGGTGAGGGTTTGATACATCGTTACGACAAACCTTTCAGGAGGAGGAAGATAATCATGTGCCACCTGGGTTACTGGAAATTCAATTTACTTTGGAGCATGCTTTATGCTGGTCTGTAGCTATTAAAGAGAGAGACATTTTCCAGTTGGAGTGTGCAGCACTGCTCAGCTAAATTGCTTTCTCAGGGTTGCCCAGTGCCATCGAGCCTCCCTCATCACCCTGGGGCCATCCTCCCTTGGAGCCCCCTCCCACCTCTCAGGGTAACACACTTAGGAGTCAGAGACAGCTTGCAGGAACACATTATTTGATATTAGCTCATCTTTGCTGCACAAACTTCAGCCCAGTTGTAAACATACCAAACCCTTTTCTCTTACCTAGCCAGGCAGAATTGCCCCCTTTCCTCCCCCAGCCAGACTGGGCCAGGATTAGAGAGAATTTAGGAGAATAGGATCCATAGGCAAATAGGGAGGAAACTCCTTAGAGCTGCTTGGGTTTTTTTCTTGTTTGTTCTTTTCCAATAGGGACAACTATCTTCCTTATAATCAGCTGCACTGTTCCTCCCTAAAATGTTTCTCAGCCTGTGGCAACTCCTGCATAATTTTTTTTTAAGCTACTGTAGAAAGACAGAACCACTCTCAGACAGACACAGTATATCCACGTGTGTTGCAAGACAACCAGAAATGGAGATTCTTAAACATGAGATAAGAGAAAGTAAGAAAATAGCTCTCAAGGTAAGTCACCCCACACGGAAAGCGCTGCATCTCTGGCATGTGACTGCACTCTTACCTGGGAAGCTGCAAATCCCTTATCTCCATGCTCGGAACAGACTGCTTCCCATAGGAATAAAAGCAAGTCGACCTTTCAGAAAAGAAAGAGTTATAAAATTAG